AAATTCCTGAAAATGATTCTTAACCTTTGAGATCGTAAAAATAATTGAATTTATATTTCTGAATAAAATATCTAAAGACTGATTTGTCTAAAGTACTTTATATACCCGAATTGATTGAAATGACCAAATACTCCAAAACTCTAAAATGACAAGAATAATCCTTGAATATTGAAATGGCCTAAATACACTCAAGACCTAGAAATAAGCGGATGCCACTGGATAAATTCTGGAATCACCAAAAAACCTAAATGTTGTAATGCACCTAAAGGTTTTGGAATACAACCTAAGTATACTGACCACTCTTGTCACTATTACAATATTAGAAAGGAATATTACCATAATACTTGTTCGTCTCTGAAGATACGTTCAATAATGTTTCTAAAGGTGATTCGTTCAACTATTGCAGTTAGTATTAAGAAATAAATATTTGTGAAGTATCTCGATCCAAATGATTCATAAGTATCACAGTGTTGAGATTAGATTAACAACATGTATGAAATGCAACTATGACTAACAATAATGCCACAAGATAACATCGTGAAATCAATTCAGAATTTTAATTTCCTTTTTTAGCCCTAAAATTATTCTGCAGTAGTACGTACAACATTCATGTGATCTCAAATTAGGGAATGCAATGTTAACTTATTAAAATCAAAATTCAAAAAGTGCAATAGTTTGACGATTAGGTGTATCCAATCAATACTTAGTGAAATTAGAAAAATTGTTCCTACTTAGTTAATGATTTTATATGTTGCAGCAATCATCCTAGACTAATGTTGGAGCATTCCAACTTATTTCCTAAAATGTTGGAGCTATTACCAGCTTTTCCAATTTATTTGATTTTTGTCTAAGATTGTTATAACACCTAATAAAGACATGAGGTTCAAATTTCAAAAAGTTATAATGTCTTTAAGTATTATGAAGATACACTTATAATGTTAAAGGGTTTCTATAGATCCTAACTCTAGTAAATTTAGAAAACATTCCCATAACATTTCACAGCTTAAACTTTTCATTATTGGGCATCCTCAAAATTCTATTAAAAACTTCTTTGGTTTTATAATATTAAACATATAGCATTACCTATGAAATTCCTAAATGTTGTAACATAATTCTAACATAATGCAATATTATACTATCCTAATATCCTAAATGCATATAATATAAACAACACTAGTAAACCCCTCCAAACCTACGAGTTGCATTGTCCTCAATGCATGCAAACATAGACAACAAAATTAAAGAAAATAGCAAAAACATGCGAGGGGAAAACAAGACTCCCCTAGTTGAGTCCTTCGCATAATGTTTTAGATGAAAGAATGAGCGAAATAGCCTAGTGATGGGTTGACCTCACTTTAGTGTGTCGAGCTATATTAAAGTATAGTTAGACTACCCTTGTTTCCCTAGAGGGGCATTGTCAATGCGCGAGGAACTTTAGTAGCTGATTAGGGCGCAAGGCTCGAACACTCGCGAAGAGTGGGTAAAAGATGTTAGGTTTGTGTGGTCTTTTGGCCTTACATATGCATATACAGTTGCATCAGTCCAGTACAACATATATCCTTAAAGTTTAGGTTGACGATTTTCTAAGACCGAGTCAATCCTTCAGTAGAGCATAAATTACCAATTGTTATATGATGGACGAGTTCTGCCTCAATGATCTTCCTGATTGCTATGTGAGGACCAGGAGATCATTCAACAGCTAGTGGAAATTATATTGATGATATATGACACCGGGTTCCCTTTGTTAATTAGTATTTAATGGCTAAGTGAGACCAAATATTAGTCAATGTGGCATTCAAATAATGCATAGTAGAGTCAGTATTGCATTCAACCAATGCATAGCAGAAGTGTCACATTTAGATAATGCGTAGCAGATATAGTCATTAGAGTTAGAGACCCATTATTGGTGTAGGAATAGTTAGGCCCTTAGCAGAGGATTAAGGGAAGCGTGAGACACCTACCTCAGTGATAGAACAAATACGTCTTAAGTAGATAGAACTTGATCTAGATCATGCATGTTCCTACTGCTTTGTATCATGTCTTCAATATTCTTGCATTTATGAAACTCTTAATGATGCTCAAGATTAACAATTACACTATTGGGCTTTGTAAGCTCAGTCTTCGAATGTTTTCCATTAGCAGGTCAATAGGTGAGTAGTTCATGGAGCACCATCACAGCATGACCTCCAGTATCTCCTTAAGAGTAATGTATTGTATCTTTAGTGGGCATGTGTATTCATGGAACGTCACTTATGTATTTGAGTTGTAAACCCTGAAGATATATTATTTTGATTTTAAATTATGTGTCACGAAGCTCTGATTTATAAAATGTTTTCATAACTATTTTTTATGTTTTATGATACCATTTAGAATGTTTGAAAAGAAAATAAATAGGTTTTGAAAATCAAGGGTTGCTTCGATGGCCCAATGTACTACTTTAGGTCTATTCAGGTTTAGGGTGCTACAAGAGCATTAAACAAGTTAAACGACATTATTTGGAAGGCAAATGTACCATATGGGTAGGGTAAAATAGTCTTCTTCTGGTCTTCAATGGCCATAGCTATTTGTTTGTAACCATTATATCCATCAAGGAGATATTAGAAAGCTTTGCCAACAAGTTGATCTAGTATTTGGTCAATGATTGGCAGTGGAAAGTTATCATTCCTTGTGCCTTTTTTAGTTTTCTATAGTCCATACAGATTCTCTAGCTAGTAGCGGCCCTTGTTGGCACTAACCCATTTATCATTGGTCACCACGGTAATGCCACCCTTCTTTAGAACAAATTGAACGGGGCTAGCCCAATGTTGTCGAGATGGGATATATAATGCATCATCCAACCATTTGATGATCTCTTTTTAAACAACTTCCTTCATAATTGATTTTAATCTTCATTATTTCTCAATAGAACCGTTGTTGGGATCCTCCAACAATATTTTGTATATACAAAATGTTGGGCTAATGCCTTTAATATCAGAAATGCTCTCAGCAATTGCTTACTTATGCTACTTCAGAACAGTGATCATCGTGTCTTTCTACATTGTTTCAAGCTTTTCTGCAATAATAACATGCAAAGTCTCATTATCTCCAAGGTATGCATACTTCAAATGCACGAGAAAAGGATTTAAATCCAGTGTGGGTGGCTCTTCAATTGAGAATTTAGGAGCTTGAATAGGTCGATTATGAAGTTCTAGTGACTCAAAGTGTTTTGTGTAATTGCCTTCAACTTCCTCATTCTTGATTAGCTCTTCTGTTGTTGCAAAATTGCTCATAACTTTGTCCATGCTATAGCATTCATCCTGTTGATCCTACAAAAAACATTAATAACATCAATCAAATAGCATTCAACATTCAACATTTGAAACATTCTACAAAACATTGAAAGTAATGTGTTCATAATTCAAAACATAGTGAGTTCTCCCTTTTTAACATCAATCAAGTCACGCCCAGTGTCAAGAAAAGGTCTGCCAAGTATGATGGGAACATCATCATCCAATTTTCAATCTAAAATGATGAAATCAATTGGTAAGATGAAATTGTCCTCTCGAACTAGCATGTTCTCAATAATGCCACTACGATTCACGATGGATCGATCAACAAGTTGCAAAGTGGCGGTGGTAGGTCTTGCTTCTCCACTCCTAAATTTCCTAAAAATTGATAATGACATTAAGTTAATGCTAGCACCTAAATCATAAAATGCCTTACCTACAAATTGATCACCAATAATGCAAGAAATGGTGAAACTCCCTGGATCTTTGAATTTTGGTGGCAAGTGACTTGTGGGTGTAGCACTACATCCCTCAATGAGTGCAACACTTTCAAATTCTCCAAGTCTTCTCTTCTTAAAATGAACTTCTCTCATGAACTTGATGTAATTTGGATTTTGCTCCAATGCATCAATTAACGAGATTTTGATAGTTAGTTGCTTGAGCAATTCAATAAATGCTCAATATTGTTGTTCCTCCTTAGTCTTTTTAAATATTTAAGGAAATTGTGGTAGAGGTCTTAGATTTAGTTGTCTTGGCATTATAGGTGGCACGACATCCAGTAGTGTGGTTGACATTACTATTGGTAATGGCCTAGAATTACTACACTTTCATGTCTCTCTTGCTACATCAATAGTGGGTTTTTTAAGATCCACTTCCATGTCCTTGCCCTTATCATGGCATTATAGGATTCTCAATAGGCTTTCCAATGTGGAGACCACTTCTAGTTGTGATGACCTTGCAATTTTCATTGCATTTGGTTTTCTCTTGTGGCTTTGGATTTTCAGTGTCGCTAGACAACGTTCCTTGCTACCTACTACTCATAGCAATTGTTAGTTGTCCTACCTGATTCTCTAAAGATCTTAACAATGTTGATTGACTTTTCATATATTCCTTCATTTGAGCTTCAAGAGATGTAAGCGTGGTAGCTTGGTTAGAAATCTATCCTTGATAATTATGGCGTTGTTGTGGTTGTGTTGTTTGTTGCTTTTGATGATGCTAAGAAATCATTTACTGGTGGTTGTAATGAAACTGCTTTGGATTGGTAACATTTTGACTTCTCTAAGATAAATTGGGTAATTGCGGTAGTTGGAAATACAAGTAGTGCCTTAGGAATTATCATTGATATTTTAATTCCTCACATAATAGATAGATTCGGGGTTTTGTGGGCATTCTTCATAGTTATGATTATCACCAAAATAAAACATATGAAAGAATAATGGGGTCTTTACTTCATATATTCCCCTTCTTTTGTAACATTTTAACCATGTCCGTCAATGTTGTGATTTGGGAAGCCATGGAGTTGAAAGCATCAGTATCCACTACTCTAACTTGTGTCTTCCAAACATGTTCCTCGTGTTGGGGTATTGATAATTATTGTTTGATATCCTTTATAAAATATCATAAGCCTTATTGTATGTCTTATTTAGCATCGCCTCATTTGTAGAAGCATTAATCACCATATGATTTTGCATATTTAATTCGTTATAAAACATTTTCATTTGCGTCCAGTGCAGAAAGTCGTGCATTGGGCATTTACGTAGTAAGCCTTGAAATATTCCCATGCCTCATATAAATTTTCATCTTCTAATTGCTTAAAAGAGTTTAGGTCATTTCGCAGCTTGGCGTTCATATTAGGAGGATTGAATCACAACAAAAAGTTGTGAGCTAACTCATTCTAGGATGTTATAGAACCAGGTGGAAGTAATTTCAACCATGCTCTAGCTTTATCTCGCAGCGAATAGGGAAACAAATTTAGCTTCAGTGCTTCCTCAATTACTTTTTCCTAAAGAAATGAGTCACACACCTCCATAAATGCTTAAAGATTTGCTGTAGGATCTTCAGTGAATGAACCACTATATTGCCCCATGGATTGTAACATTTGAAACATCACCAGTTTCAATTCAAAATTGGCAGCATGAATGAATGGTTGTACGATTTCATGATGCAAATCATCTAGCATTGGCACAACATTCTCTGTAATAGGTCTGTTACGGTCACCATAGTTATAGTAGAATGTATGAATAACTCCATTGTCAGTCGGTTTTTTTTCTCACCATCATGTTGCAATGGCGGTAAAATATTTTTACCATTATTCATGTTTGCTCGATTACGAGCTGCTTGTCTCTGACGTTCACGTATGGTACGTTTGATCTCAGGATCAAAATACTCTAGATCTTGATTGTTGCTACGGGGCATACACCAACAACGCTAAACTAGGAAAGATGTACCTACTAAAAGAAAAAAAGAAAAAGTAAGTAAAAAAATAACTCTAATGTAAAACTGATGTTCCCCAACAACGACACAAAAAACTTGATGCCGTAAGATGTTATAGCAATAATGTAAGTATATGTATCATGTTAAGTAAGAAAGTGGAAGCTATAAAGCTTTTTATGTCGATCCCATAGAGAGCATAACATATTATAATAGAGTTGAGTGAAAATTGTCTATAAGATATATGGTTATAATGGTAAAGTAAAACTAACAGTAATTAAAGAAATCAGGGAAATAAGTGTCAGGCAGAGTTATAGTGTTAAGAAGAGCATTAAGAATAGAATGGGTTAGGAAAATAATTGGTCATTCTTACTATAACTATGAATGCACCCATACATTCATGTATCTAGCAAATATTAATAACATTTAATTAACAAGAATCAACCTTCATTAATTCAAGTAATTAATTAACAATATTGGATTATTGGCAGCATACATTTCAATATGGAAAATTGCTTTTCACCAAAACCATTATTGAACATAAGTAGCATGAAATATTAATAATATTCATTTCCAAACATCATCAATAATACATACATAAAGACAATTTCATTTCTAAAATTATCTTAAAACTGTGGTAGCACATAAACTTAGAGTTTAAACATAAATCATAGCAAAAACATTTAAAAAAAAACATTAAAGCCTAGTACTAAAATAATATCCCAAAAGTTTAACAACACATCCCAATTGTACTTTGTTACTTCCCTATCTCAACGAAGAATAAAAGTATAAACATGATAAGATCTTGATTGTTTCTACTACACAGTATAAACAAGATATGTAGATCGGTAGTTACATTACTTCAATCTCTGTCGTTGTCCTGAGAAGTAATGGTGAAATGATTAGAAAGGGAATCGAAAGTTGTAATATATGTTGGTCAAACATATATACGGACAAACTCACATAATTTTGATCATATTCGTTACTCCATGAATTTTACATGTACTCAATCCGTAAAGACACAAGGATGGGTTGGTGGTGAACTCATTGGCAAACTGAGTTGCAATCGTGGACAAGTAACTTTGTTTTGTCCCTCATTTTTGCATAACCCACATCGCCTAATTTTGGTTTGCGACCTTTTCTTTTGTACTTCTTTTCATTTTGGTTGTTTACGTGGTGGGTCACAAACTTCATGAACGTCTTTTTAATGTTTAGATAACACTTTCATAGTAAACATGCCTTCAAATTCTGTTATTATTCTTTTCATATGATCTCTTTCTATTTTGAAAAACTAATCAGTCTTTGATGCAATGTAGCATAACCTAGTGGAATTTGAACATAGAGAAGTGAATCATGACATATGTACAACCTCGGGTGGTACATTGAAATCAAGAAACCTTAATTCGCTAGTATTCGCATCCTTTGTCCACCAACTAAGAATCAAAGACTTAGAGAGAGATGTGTAATCCTTGTTCTTAAGTACATGCAGTTGATGTCGACAAATGTTATCTATCTCAAATTTTATGCAAAAGCATGTTAGGCTCTCTGAAACAAGGTCAAAACGAATTTCAACAATATTGTTCATGTCTTTGTATTTTGACAACAAAAAATTTCAGGTCCTTATGATATTTTAACTTTTCCCGTAGCTGATACAATGTCTCCCGTTGAACTTATTCTTGGAAAACCATAAATGATGCTTGTGTATAGACTTCGATAGCATGGCTTTCTCGGTTAGCCAGTTTAGTGATTTGGAAAGGTTTCGTCTGTAAACATAAAAAATCTATTTGCAACTCATTGATCCTCATCTAGCTAATTCCTTCATCAATTGCACGAACAATGACTAAATATGTCTTCTTATTAGCCAGTGCAATTGCAAGTGAAGCATTCATAGACGCACACATTTGCGTAGATTAAATTTTGGCAAAAAAATGATCAACTAGATAGGCTTGTGCCCATAACTGCCAATTATTTCCCTTCTCAATAAACCATGGATGGTTTTCCAAGTTGAATTCAGAAACAAATGATTACCATTTGCTATCAAAATTTTTATTATCCACCAAGAAGACATACATTTTGAAAATGCAGTTGTAAATTTCTTGTCACTGATGTTAGCTTGTGCATTACGAGAAATATGCTATGAGCATAATATGTGCTTAGTGAAAGGGATAACAGTTTGATCGTCCTCTACATAGCCCTATCTCCATTGGTGATAACTGAAACTGGTATTTTTTTCATCATGGCATGTAAGAAATTATGTAGAACCCATTTGAAAGTTTGAGTGGTTTTGTCCATGATGATAGTAGTAGTAAATACTATTGTGGCATTATGATGATTTACACTACAATAGGCATTATTGGTCGACCATATAAATTATTTTTTAAGTTGTGTCGAAAGCAATTACATCACCAAAGCAGATGTTTCGGATATTGATATTGAATCAGCTCATATAAGATTATGTAAATCTTTTGATCCATCGACTGAGTAGGTCATAAATAACCTGCGATCATCTTGTTTCTTGAAATAGAAGTAGGATATCACTGTATTTGGTATCACCATAAATAATTTCTTTTGCTTTACTCCTTTTAAGCTCATTGTAGAGGTTTTCTGTGTGAAGACTACATTATGATAACCCCCTTCATGGTGCATTAAATAATTCATGACTTGTGACGTCCCAACACCAAAGTCTTTCAAAGTTGTCGATTTCTCCAGATCAGCATTAGTGACAGCTCTATTTGAACGTAAAATGGGTGTTTCCTTCCTTAACAACAAAATTCTTGTGCCTTCATGTTTCCTTCCTTATCCAGTCGCGTTCTTCCTAGTCGTACACTAAATTCATGCTTCTTTATGTATGCTCTATAAAACTCCCACGCTTGATCACGAGAGGAAAATAGAAACCTCACCAACTTGGCAAAACCATCTACACAAAATGGTTCTTTAGAAATCTATGTTTTATTTGTGTATGATTACGTTCCATAGTTAATATACATTGGTCCCTCTAAAGAATGAAGAAATTCTTGTTTTCTTCATTCTAGGTCAGTCAGTTCAGTTTTCACATTATAGATAATTTTTTTCTTAGAACACAAAGTGACTTGCCGAATTAGGTAGGGAATTATGTCATGGTTATTGAAGTTTGACAACCATTTATTTGTCATTACAATGGTTGGTGTGTGTGTTCATTTAATACAAAGACAAGGGTGTTGTCTTAGAAATATCGATACTATTGCAAAACTTATCGATAAAAATGCATTTAAATGGTTATGTGTATTGATATGAATATAATAACTATCGAACATATATAATAAAAATATGGATAGTATATTTAAATAATGTTAATAACCTAGTGGAATTTGTAATGTAACGATTTGCAAATTATAGGTATCAAACTTTTATAATTCGAATATCTTTATGAAATTTATGTCACAATAAGATGTTGAAACTTCTGCACAAGTGTCCGATACAAATGCTTTCGATTGGTTGTGCACATAAATTACATTAGCATGTTTCGATACTTTTACAAGTAGTATCGATTAATTAATTGGTAAAAGTAATTTAAATATAAGTTTACTTCCACTGTATCGATACCTTTTATGATAAGTCTGATACATTTTATGTAATGTGTCAATCACAAAACAGTTATGAAATGTATCGATGATGTTGGAATCAGTTTCGATATTTAATATTTCGATGTAGATGCTTGAAATATACAAATGAATTTTTTTATACTTTTAATGCAAGTATCAATAAATATATTGTCAACCTTTTAAGTTATACTGTGAACCTTTTAAATTAGATTGTCAACACGTTTCAATTTATAACCAACAGGTGGTGACAATTTATATTTTCAATCGTTTAAGTTATATTGATATAACTATTTTCATTATGGACATGTAAGAGAAAATAGGTTTAAATATATAACAATAAAGGTAGCACCTTTTTATATTTTCAATCGTGTAAGTTATATTGTTATAACCTTTTTCATTGTGGACATGTAACATAAATAAGGTTTGAAGTTAAAACAATACAGGTAGCGCCTTTTGATATATTTAACCGTTTAATTGCTATTCATATAACCATTTTCATCATGGACATTTAAGACAAATCAAGTTTAAATTTATGACAATATTTTATATGTTCAATCGTCTGAGTTATATTGTTATAACCTTTTTCATTATGAACGTGAAAGACAAAAATAGTTTCAATTTAGAACAATACAGGTTGCGCCTTTTATATGTTCAACAATTTAATTTATATTTTTATAACCTTTTTCATTATAGACATGTATTACAAAATAGGTTTCAATTTATAAGAATACAGGTTGCGCCTTTCATATGTTCAACCATTTAAGTTATACTATTATAACATTTTTCATTATGGATATGTAATACAAATTAGGTTTCCAATTTTAACGAT